TGACATCCTTGGTTTTGCTATATGATCCCTGATTAGTTAGGATTATCCAGTGTAACTACTCCAGGCCTATAAATGAGGCCACAGATCGGCAGTGGACATGGATGGTGATCTTAGGGTGCATCTAATTATTATTATTATTATTATTATTATTATTATTATTATTATTATTATTATTATTTATTTTTATCCTGCCCTTCTGCGCAACATAACTGGGGCGGCTTACAACATTAAAATATACATTCCATATCCATACTGTAGAAATAATGCAGTCGCAAGCTGGCATCCTCTGAAGATGGCAGCCATAGCTGCTGCCAAAATGTCAGGAATAAATTCTTCTAGAACATGGCCTCGTAGCCCAAAAAAACCCACAAAAATAATGCAGGTGGACACCATTTTAAGTGCTTTAGCATCCTAAGATTCTGTAGGATGGAGCCATGGGAGTTAAAGTGCTGTTAAACTGCATTATTTCTACAATGTAGATGCAGTCAAAGTCATACTGCGGTTTCCTGACATGACATCAACACTCCAGTTCTCCGTGCCAGCCACTGCCAGCTTTCCAGTCTCCAAATGGGAAGAGGGTTGTTCTGCTTCTCGAAAGAAGTGTGGACAGCCTGTGTTTCTGGCTGGTTGATGCAAAGTTAACACCGGAGCAATGCAAAAGGGGGCAAAGGGGGAACAGCCCTCCAGAAAGGATGGCAAAAATACTTGGCGATCCCTTGGATAACCTTCTCTTGTTACCTTCATCTAGGAGAAAATCCCTTTTGCCGTGGTTGGAGCAGACAAGGAACATCAGGTGAACGGCAAGAAAGTGCTGGGCCGCAAAACCAAGTGGGGGGTTATTGAAGGTAACGTCAATTGCAGCTTTGCGTCTTGGTGTGGCATGACATGCCCAAGATATTTTGCTGCCTATGGCAGAGGAACAAATACTTCCTCCATACCCAGGCAAGTTATGATGTATGGCATCCAAGATATCTAGGCATGGGAGATAGGGAATCCTCCAAGCACCTTTCTCCATCCTTGCCAATAAGCCAGTAAAAACAACCGACTAAAGGCCCTTTCACACTACATAGTTACAATACTACGATTCCACTTTGAATGGTGTGGTTGCATCCTATGGTATGCTGGGGGGGTCTGTACCGTAGTTTCTTCTCTAAGAAGTCAAAGTTCCTTTCCTTAAGCTGCCAATGAGAGCCAGCAGGCATGGTGGTTTGAGTATTGGACTATGACTCTGGAAACCAGGGTTCAATTCCCAGCTCGGCCATGAAACCCACTGGGTGACCTTGGGCATGCCACACTCTCTCAGCCTCAGAGGATGGCACGCCAAACCTTCTCGGAACAAACCTTGCCAAGAAAACCCCATGATAGGTTTGCCTTAGGGTCACCATAAGTCAGAAACAACTTGAAGGCACACAACAACAAAAACAACAACAACAAGCTGTCAATCCCAGGATTCTATAGAATGGAACCAGGGCAGTTAAAGTGGAATCACAGCATTATACAGTCAGCCTCTGTATCCATAGATTTCTATCCACAGACCTAAGCAACTATGGATTGATGATATTTTTTAAAATATATATATAAATTGCAAAAAGCAAACCTTGAACTTGCCACTTTATATAAGGGATACCCTTTTACTATGCCATAGTCTTTAATGGGACTTGAGCTTCCTCAGATGCATTCGTGGCCTGTTCCATAATGCTGCAAGTCTGCATAATGCTGCAAGATAGTTGTCCCATGGTTGGCCTTGGCTAGTGTTCAAAACTCCTCCAGCAAGAGAGACATCTCAGGGATTCTTGTTACCTTGCCCTGGAATCGGAGCACCTGCAGAGTCCAGCTTCCCACATTCTTTCCCCTAAACACAAACACCGAAGCCCCGCTCTGCATTCCACAATTTTCAGAACCATCCCTGGGCCAAGATACTTCAACCGCTCCCACCTGGAACAAATGTGGCCAGCCAAAAACTGTGGGAACACTGCATAGGAGAAGGAAAAGCGGGCCAGCAGAGTCAGGCTTTGTGTGTGTGTGTAGGGGAGGACTCCTTCTTCTACCTCTGGCAAAGACGGTCATCCCATTGTGGTGTCTTCTTACACACCAGGAACTCTGATCCCTAGACCCAAAATACATCCAGAATTCACATCCTTACGTTAGGGTGCATCTCCACTGTAGACGTAATGCAGTTAGACACCTCTTTAATTGGCACCTCTTCATCCTATGGAGTCCTGGGATTTATATCAATTCCAAAAAGCAAACCTTGATTTTGCTATTTTATAGAAGGGACACCATTTTACTATGCCACTGTATTTAATGGGACTTGAGCATCAATGGATTTTGGTATCCATGATGGGACCAAACCCTAGTGGATACCAAAGTGAGACACCAACACTGTTTTGCAGAGAAGTCTCAAGACATTGTAAAACTGCAAATCCCAGGATTCATAGAATGGAGCTACAGCACTCAAAGTGGTGTCCAACTGCATTATTTCTACAGTGGAGAGGCACCCTTAAGCTTTATTTATTTACTTGGCTGAACATTTTTTAGTAAGTGGAAATATTCACTACTTGCAGCAAAATGGACCAAGCGCAAAGAACTAACGGAAAGGCACGGTCAATAGCAAATACAGGTTATTGGCGTTAGAATTGTTGCAGTCACTTTCACCATTATTTGGTTTACAATTGCTGGCTTTTCCTGATGAGCTTTGTTCCTTTTTTTACCCGAAGGGCCACCTGTACCAATATTCAGGATGAGGCAACTGGCTTAAGCGGAAGATACTGGGAGGGCGACAGAAGCATCCCCTAGTAACTCTCTTGTCTTATAGGAGAGTGGTCTGTGTGCTCCACAGCTTCTCCTGTACCCCCAAAACTTCCCATGTAGTGGACAACCCTATTGCATTGTTAGTGCCGAAATGAGATCCAATTGTCGGTTCAGCTGGCTTTTGTACATCCAGAGAGGATGGTCCATGTTGCCTTTGGCCTCAGGTGGTAAAATGTTTTGGGATGGCCCCATTCTCTGGCTGAGAACTGATCTTTCTATCCCTTGCTCTTGTGGTCTTTCATCGCTTTCTCCTATTTTCTCCCACCCTTCTTCTCAGCCTGTCTCCTCTTTGGGTTTGTCTTCTATCCATTTCTCTCCTCTTGGCTCCTCAAAGCACCTAGTTCTCAATGTCGCTTTTGAAAATAACATCTCTTTTCTCTCCGTTCCGTGCCCTTTTCCACAGCTCGCATTGCAAGGCCCTTAGGAGCAGGACAGGTATTACAACATCTCTGGATGCTGCCTTCCTCCTTTGCATGCCCCCTCCTGGCATTTTCTATAGGAATGCAGAATACTTATCATTGGTCCCTCAAGCTCAATATTGTCTACACTGACCGGCAAAGGTTTTCAGCCCTACCTGAAGGTACCAGGAATTAAACCCAGGGCCTTCTCCATATAAAGCACATGCTGAACCACTGGCCACATTATTTTCATCCTGAATTGCCAAAAAGAGAGGCAGATAGTTACACGGAAGGGCATTGCGGTCCCTGTGCCGCAAACTGGAATGTGATTTCTAGAAATGCCATTATGCCTTTCAGGGATCTCTTTGGGCCATGCATTTCTCCGTGGGATCAGTATTTAAGAATCTGCTGCCTCCTTGTGTTCAACAGCTTTTATGCAGAAATTTTACTCTGAGTCTCCCTTATCCGGGATCTCGAAATCCGAAATATTCCAAAATCCCAAATTGTCCACACGGGTGGCTGAGACAGTAACACCTTTGCTTTCTGATGGTTCAATCTACACACAATTGGATTCATGCACAAAATTATTTAAAATGCTGCGTATAAAATCACCTCCAGGTGATTTGTATAAGGTGTATACGGAACCTACATGTTTAGACTTGGGTCCCATCTCCAAGATATCTTATTAGATATATGCCAATATTCCAAAATCTGAACAACTCCAAAATCCAAAACACTTCTGGTCCCAGGCATTTCGGATAAGGGAGACTTGAGCGATAGAAAGTGTGCTTCCTTCAAAGCACTGCAGAGGATCTCCCGGTTAGAACCAAGGGCTGGATTAAATGTTCGGATGCAGAAATGGATGTGGAAAGCAGGAGCGCTCTTGAATAGCTTCACAAAGGTGTCAGGGTAGGGGAGAATATAATTCACAGCGGAGGTGCTTAACCCTCCCAGCTCTCTTGCTGCTGCTTCTCTGCAATTTCAGTTCCTCCCAGCTACCTTTCCTCTCCAAAAATACATCTGGAATACCAGTTGGGGACAGGAGGTGAAGGGGATAAGAGGTGGAGAGGGAAAGGGTTAAATGCCACCCCTTCCCCTTCTACTTTTCTCCCAGAAATGTCACCCTTTCTAAATGCGCAGTACTCCATCCTTCCTCCCTTGCTGCTCCATGTGCTTCAAACTGCCTCTGGCCACAGCTGCATGGTGCCACTCTTCTGACTTTCCTTCTATAGCCCCTTGATCCTCACCTTCTCCGTGAAATCCTTGGCACTTTTCCGGGAAATCCCTCCTTCCCATGTCCCGCTCTAACTCATCCTGAAATGAAGGATCTTTCCAGATTCAAACATGTGATGGTTAAATGGGCCCAAGATGCTGGTAGCTCTATAGATCTAGAAAGTTGGGGGAAATCATGGAAAATTACCAATAAGTTTACATCATGCCAGAATTATAAAGAAAATTATTTTAAAATGCTACATCAATGGTACATGACCCCATCAAAATTAAACAATATATACAAGACAGGAGCTATAAGCTGTTGGAAATGTCAGAAACAAGAAGGTAGCTTCATACACATGTGGTGGAGGTGTCATGAGGCAAAACGATACTGGAAGAATATACTTAATATAATGAATGAAATACTCAGGATGAGAATAACACTAGATCCAAGAGTCTTTCTGTTAAACATGACAAACAAATGAGATGATGAGACTGAAGGATGTTTCCAGATTACGTAACTATCTGGCTCAAACGCAGCATTTTAAAGGCAGTCTAGATATGTAACCTTCCCATGTTTTCAGTGTAGTGTAGTGGTTCGTGCATTGGACTATGACTCTGGAGACCAGGGTTCGAATCCCAGCTCGGCCATGGAAACCCACTGGGTGACCTTGGGCAAGTTACACACTCTTTCAGCCTCAGAGGATGGCAATGGCAAACCCCTTCTGAAGAAACTTCCAAGAAAACCCCATAATAGGGTCACCTTAGGTTCTCCATAAGTCAGAAACTGCTTGATGCCGCACAACAACAAAGATCCAAATGATCCTCAGAGACAAGGAGGAGCAAACTGCTAGGGAAGACTGCAGTCATTCATGGAGTATAAATGGAACCGGCAAGTTTGGGAGCCATGTGCCACTGAATACCAGAGTATGGTGGAGGTCAAACATCTGGGGGAACAGGGGCAATGTTGTTGCCTTTGTGGTCTGTTTGTGTTCATTCCAGAAACACGTCACTGCATGAGGTTTGGATCGTGACCAAGCAGAGACAGCAGTTAATGAAACTCCATCGAGAAATCATTGTAAACACAAAACTGTAATTGCAACTCCAACACGCTGCTACATTCGTTCAGCAATCTTATGCAAGTGTGTCATTGCCCAACATAATGAAATATAACACAAGTCAGGCAGTGCAAGCAACATTCGTTGTATAAGAATCAAATTCCAATTGTAAATGTATAAAAGGCAGAAGGAAAAATGTGGAAAGCAGACAAATTGTTATGGCATATTGGCAATGTGTTGTTGCGTGCCTTCAAATTGTATCCAACTTATGGTGACCCTAAGGTGAAACTATCGCAGGGTTTTCTGGGGCTGAGAGTGTGTGACTCCCTCAAGGTCACCCAGTGGGTTTCGGTGGCTGAGTGGGGAATCGAACCCTGATCTCCAGAGTCATAGTCCAACACTCAAACTGCTACACTACACTGGTTCATTCTGGTAATCACTTCCTTTCTTATAACACCTTCTTCAGGTGCAAATTTCTATTTTTTACAACTTTCCCATGGCTGCAGACTAAATACGCCCATATAGTTTTATACATCCAACCTTAAATGTACTTTAAACTCTTTAAGGGAGGTGTTTATATATTTATGATTGTCATTTGGCTTTCATATTAATTGCTTTCCTTGCATTATGTGTCATTATGGCTAGAGATCAGACACTTGCATAACAACACTGAGCAAACGTAGTGGTATACTTGAGCTGTAAATGCCCAATCTTGTGATGATAAGCATTTTTGCGGCTGCTGTTTTAGTACATGAGGTCAGGTAGGCCGGTCCTCTCACTTAGTCCAGAAGAGCTGTTCTTATGAGCCAATGCGGAATTTGCTCTTCCGAGCTTGGAACAGAACTTGATGTGGTTACTTTTTCAGATTACAAATGACTACATCCAGTTAGCATGACCACTGGGCATGATGTCTGGAGGATTCTGAGAGTTGTAGTTCCCCAAAAAGGAACTTTTTCAAGCTCTACAGTTACTGGGCTCTTAGCCTTCTGCCACAACCCACCTGGGAAAGGTTCATCCGTTTGTTCCCCCTGAGCACCTTTTTTTTCTTGGTGATCATAGAAGATGCTCAGCCATCTCTTGTGTTCTTGTCTTTCAGTGGAAAACCCTGCCCACTGTGAGTTTCCTTTGCTGCGGGATCTCTTAATCAGGTAAACTGGGGTCTCAAAAAAATCTAAACATTTTTATAGTGATTTTGGTGTGTCTGCCATTGCTTTAATTGTGACTCTACCATGGGTGATCACACAACCCACCTTCTGCTTTAACAAGACACATGGGAGGAATGGTTCCCCCATTAGCCATGCCCTCTGCACACTGATGCATGCACTGGCCCCATCTCCTGAGAGTCACACATTTGGCATAAGAGGGAAGGAAGACATGCCCAAGAAACACCATCACACATGTAGGCATGTAGGGCTAGCACTCCACTTACATGAATACTGATACCTGTAGGTATCCTATTCCTGCCTGCACTGCTGGGTGATCAAGAGTCTGGCCTCGGCACCAGGTTGTCTTAACAGGTCAGGGATCAAGGCGTGCCAGATAGGAAGGGAACACAGCAGATCAACCATTGCCTCAGCAATGGCTACTCACAAACCAAGCAGATTTGTATGTGCATCTGCTGCTCTATCCCCTGCTCAGTGTCATCAGGACCTTGATCCAGAACACATGAGGAGTCTAACTTTCTCCTTATGTAGGACACAGGGATGTGAGGCCCATCTCCCAGATGGGCACCCTTGGCCACAGGTCTGCATTCAGACACACCAACGTCTCTGCTCAGGGATGGTCTTGAAGGATCTGGAGCTGGTGAGATGGGACCAACCAGGGAATGGTGGCACTGTTGAACCTGCAGTGTCCTTAAGCAGGATGCCTTTCTGGGTGACGGTCTCAGATTGAGTTGGTCATTTGAAGGACTGATTGGCCAAGTTGCTCCAGCCTCTCCTGTTTTTGTTTCCATTTTTCTCAGGTCTCACCTGCAGGACCTCAAAGACATCACTCACAATGTGCATTATGAGCAGTACCGCGTGCGGCGTCTCAATGGAAGCAACCTGCCGTCCAAGGGCAATGAATGCCTGGCACTGAGCTCAGTCAACGGAGAGCCGGAGAGTCACCTTTGAGCTGCAGGGACAGCGTCGCCTCTCCTGTCCCATGCATCCCCCCCCCCCCCCAGCTTCACTGACCCTTTCCCCAATGGCTTCTGCAGACTGATTTCTCCTCCCTGCTCCTTCTTCGGCAATCAGCCAGAACAGGTTTTCTGACAGACATCTTATCCCTGGCCCCAGTCTCTTCTGATCAGAAATTCCATCTCTGACTTTGAAATCCCAGCCGTGATGTTGGGCATCTACATATCCTTACAGCTTGTTGTTGGGCATCTGTGATCCTTACAGCTTCACACCTCAGAGACACTGCAGCTGCCTCCTGGATTTTTCTAGCCCTGGTCTCAGCTTCTCAACCAAGAAGACCTCTTTCCTATCTAACTGGGCTTTCCAGACTCCATAGCTAAGATATCTTGGCCGATCCCACTCACTGATACAATGAGCCCTACTTTTGTCCATGCCTATCTTTCTTTCATGTTCTTCCCTTTGTCTAATGTCGGTGGCAACTGTACCGTTCTTTTTTGGTGCTTCTTGGCTGGGGACAGAGGCTGAGAGCCACTGAAGGATCAGTATCGCATGAAATGGTTAAACCCACAGCCTCTGAGAGTGAAGAGGGGACCCTGTTCCAAGCTCCCCTAAACTGGGATTGCAGCCACTGTCAAAGTCACAGGATTCCTGTGCAGTTTGGACACGGACTGCTTGCTGTTTGTAAGGATTCATAAAGGAGAGGAGTGGTTTGAAGGCTTCTCTGTCAGCAATGAGCAAGCCAGAATTGGCCCAAGCCATTAAAGCAGCAGCCTTCTTGTCTGGAGCAAAGCTCCCTTTGGGTGTCTCTTGCCCCAGAGAGTGGGGAGGACTGGGATTTCGGAGAAGATACCTCCCGGCTGATCCCTGATGATGCCAGAGCAGAATGGGAAAACTCACCATCACCTGGAAGCCAGTCCGTTGCCCAGCCTGATTCTTCGGTGAGGCTGCATTTTATACTCCTGGGCGAAGAGGTTGTGAGTCTCCAGTTTACAAATTAAAGAGCAACTCTGAAGAGTGTTATGTGGGCCTATGGTGTGATCTTTACATCTTCTCAAGGGTCTCTTGCTGTCTCTTGGTGCTCTCTCTGATGGGGTGGGCAGGAGCCTGAGAGAAAGAAATCCCCCCCATTTATACCTTTCAGCATTTTTGCAAAATACACACAGCTGATTTGTGGCTGTAGCATGGAAATTCCACATTCATTTTTCTGGTGTCCTCAGATTGACTTCCTCATAGTTCCACCTAAGGCTGTGTTAGAACCACTTGTAGCTCAGGAAAGAAATCATTTGGGGTTCAGGGCTGGCCCTATCATTTGACGGAAGTGGCTAGGAGGTGGGCTATGGGCAATCTCTGCTTTGCGGTGTCATGGAGGATGCAGTCCCATCCCCACCTTTTTGATGAGGGATTTGACTGGCAATCCAGTCAGGTTTTGTGCATGGAAATGGGAGAGAGGTCCATCTTCTTCCTTGCCTTAGGCAGCAACATGTCGTGGGCTGGGAGATGGAAGTCCCTTTTCACTCTCAATCCTACACAGCTGCCACCCTGGCATCTAACTTGGCCCCAAACTTTTGCCTGCACTGCCTTTATCCGTTCTGTGGGTCAAGTCCTTGCAAAAACCACAGCAGCTGCGGAGCATCTGTGGAAAAGCCAGCGATTCCAGTACAAAGCTCAGAGATAACCAGCTAACTTTGCATACACACAGATACTTCTTTTCTTACTCTTATGCCCTTCTTTGGTGTCAACGACATGGATAAAAAAAGAGCAGGCAGAGAGGGAGAGAGTTGTATTCTCTGTAAGCCGCATCTGCAAACACAACAATTAACTGAAAGCAGATGTGCTTCTCTAATTTGGGGTTATAGTCAAGCGCTCCTTTTATGATTTTGCTTCTGAGTCAAAAGAAAAGGCAGATTTGAGCACGGATCATTTCGCTTGCACATATACCCCTCCAAAAACAAACGTTTCCTTTCTTATTTGAAGGTGCAGATATATCCCTTTGCAGTTGATGGTAACTTTTGGTTATTTCTCTAGTTTCAACGGAGGAAAAATATCACATGGTTTGAGTGTTGCGCTGCGCCAGATGTTGCTGCCTCATGCTTTGCTGAGGATATTGAAGCAATGGCAAAGTGGACAGGAAGAAATAGGTTTTGACTGCAAGCCAGAGCTTTGCAGCCTCTTGACATATTACTCTTGAGAAACTAGTTACTTTTCAGAAAAAGGGAAGGTTGTTACCTATCAATACTAACTGCTTTTGGCTTTAGAGCTGTAGCTAATTTTTCTTTTTTAAAAAAAGAAACATCACACATTTTGTGTTGATAACTTTGTGGTTAAGCATAGATTTGAATCCAGCACTCCCCAGTTGCAACTCTGGAATGGGATCTGCTACAGAGCTTAAAACTGGGCCATATTTGTGTGGCTTTTATATCCATCTGGTGTAACAAATGTTACTTGCCCCATTCATTATTGCAGTTTAAAGTAG